TGTGTGTGTGTGTGTACGTGTGTGTCAGTATGTCTGCCAGGATATATTTGTGTGTCAGTGTATGTGTGTGTCAGTATGTATCTGTGAATGTTTTAATGTCTGTCTGTGTGTGTGTGTCAGCATGTCTTTGTGTGTCAGTATGTCTGTGTGTGTATGTAAGTATGTCTGTGTGTGTATGTGTGTGTCAGTCAGTATGTCTGTCAGTGTATGTGTCTGTGTGTGTATGTATGTATGTCTGTGTGTGTGTGTGTGTGTGTGTGTGTGTCAGTTTGTCTGCCAGGATATATTTGTATGTCAGTGTATGTGTGTGTCAGTATATATCTGTGAATGTTTAATGTCTGTCTGTATCAGCCATTACGTCTGTCTGTGTATATGTCAGTATGCCTGTGTGTGTGTGTGTATATATGTCAGTATGCCTGTGTGTGTGTGTCAATGTGTCTGTCAGTGTATGTGTCTGTGTGTTTTAGTATATCTGTCAGTGTATGTGTTTGTTTGTGTGTGTGTCAGTATATCTGTTAATGTATGTGTCTGTGTATGTATGTATGTCTGTGTGTGTGTCAGTATGTCTGCCAGTATATATTTGTGTGTAGTGACTTTGTGTGTCAGTATGTATCTGTGAATGTTTTAATGTCTGTGTATGTGCCAGTACGTCTGTCAGTGTGATTGCGGGTTGGACGTAATTGGGGGGTGAGGCAGTGGCAGGGACAGGGCCCATGGGGCCCAAGAAAATGCATTGCCCAGGGTCCTAATCATATTATAGACGGCCCTGACTGTAACTTTATGGTTTCTCCTCCCACCTTCATTTTATGGTCTCTCCTGCCACAGGTTCCATTGTTGTTTTACCCCTTCACCACCACTACCATTTTTAATAAAAGGCACACTTTTTATTTGCAGCAGAAACACTATACACTAATTCAGGAAGTGGACAACATTGACAAAAAACTTTAGGTCAAAAAACCCAAACTGGAGAAATTCTCAAATGTAGCTTTTGCTATCTAGAGTAGTAAAGTGTAGTATATTAAAGTATGGGAGCAAAGTAGTAAAGTAGAGTCGGTTAGTACAGAAGTGCTGTATATCATATTTTCCATGCACCTCTGATGCCCACCTTCAAGATATCCTATGGGACTCTATTTCCTGCTCTCTTAGACTCTCAGTCAGTACCTTCGAAAGATCATATAAAAAATAAATTTATTTCGGAATGTATATGATTTAAACTGTTAATTGCTTTCCCTTCTTAGACCTTGGTAGCCCACATTGCTTCCTCTCTTGCAATTGTGTCATTAAAAATAACTAACCCTTCACTGTAAGCTATTCTGGTAACCTACTGTTTCCCATTCTTTCTGTACATCTTGTGCCACTTTACCCCACTGCCTCTAGAATGCAAGCTTGTTTAAACAGGGCCCTCTACACCTTCTGTTGCTGTGCGCCCAACTCGTCTTCTTACAAATACTTGCCTATTACTCCGCCTATTGTACAGTGCTGCATAATTTGTTGGTGCTTTATAAATAATAATAATAAATATAATAAAATGAGATAGAAATATGAACCGTGTCTTATTAAATAGCAAAAATTACTACACAGTGGCAGAAAATACCTAAATTGCCTTTGTAGAAATAATGCTACTTTCCAAAAAATACTAACTGCATAGTAAGCTGTTAGTAACAAAATATTATTATTAATGGCATTTATATAGTGCTAATTTACTCCACAGCATTTTACAATATTATAAAATGGTCAATTTAACAATAAATGAGACAATTACAAAATGTTACAGAAACTATAGGTTGAGAACCATGTTCAAACAAACTCAAATGCAGCATGAATTGTAGCACTTTGGCTAATCTCACGTAAAAGCCATATGGTAAAATGTTTTTTGAACGTGGACTTTTGTGCAAATCATTATTTTGTGTGTGCATTGCTCTTCAGTACTTATCACAGCAGTACAATTTTAGTCAATTATATTGGTTTTGGAGGTCACAGCACAAATAAAGAAAATGAATCAAAGGTTCATTACTATAAAGGTTTTCCAACACACTGACATTTTTGAATATTTTTTTTTGCAATTATTGCTAGCTATAAAATGCCCTTTAGTGCTCTGTTGGTATTTTAATTATAAAAACTACATGTGTATATAAAGGCATTTTTCTTTAACTAAGTTTTACTCATTGAATAAGTAAACTTGAGTTTAACTTAAGTTATAATACCGTATTTTATTATAGTCATCACACATCAACCTTAAATGTAAAATCAATAATAGCTCATTTATTTTCACAGTAGATGAAGTTTACTGATTTACTATATGGGTACACATTTTTTTCAATTTTGTAAACAATATTTCAATTTGATCTATCTATCTATCTATCTATCTATATATCTATCTATCTATCTATCTTTCTATCTATCTCTCCCTCTCTTTATCTACCTATCGATCTATCTATCTACCTATCTATCTACCTATCGATCTATCTATCATCTCGCATTATCCATCATGCGCTATCTATCTATCTATCCATCCATCCATCGATCTATCTCTCCCTCTCTTTCTATTTATCTACCTACCTGCCTATCTATCTATATATCCATCTATCTATCTATCTATCTATCTATCTATCTATCTATCTATCTCTCCCTCTCTCTCTCTTTAACTATCTATCTATATATCTATCTATCATATTGCGTTATCTATCTTGTGTTATCTATCTATCTCTCCCCTCTCTCTTTATCTATCTATCTATCATATTGCGTTATCTATCTTGCTTTATCTATCTATCCATTCACCCATCTATCTCTCCCTCTCTTTCTCTTTATCTACCTACCTGCCAATCTATCTATCTATCTATCTCTCTCCCTCTCTCTCTCTTTAACTATCTATCTGTCTGTCTGCCTGTCTGTCTGTCTATCTATCTTTCTAAAGTTTATTACATAAATGCATGAAATAAAGAAAAACAAGTTTTATCTATGATGGTTCATTAATGGGAAGCAATACAAATAGACAACCAAATACATAAACCTACCACCATTGAAGGAATAGTTATTTACAAAACACCTGCAACAGCAAAAAACACTGTATCTCACTTTGAACTGATTACCATTTCCGGGCTCTCCTAACCTTTTGAGTTCCATACAGTGATTGAAGAGGAGGACATCATGTGCAGTCTTCTGCAATGGTGGCTTACCTCCCAAGTGTTTCTATTTAGTAGGGACAGTCCCTATTTTGAGTCCAAATCCATTGTCCCTAAAAAAGAGCTACACAGCAATAATACTCTCAGTGATGTGTCTTTAAACTACAATTAATATCTCTTGTTATTAGTAAGTCACTTAAAGGTTTTAAGAACAGCCTCGTCCCTGGTCACAAACCTAAAATTAAAATGTCCCTTTTCATCCATTTGAAATATTATCATATTATCATGTTTGTAGTTACATAATGATTACCTAAATTATATATATATTTTTTGTACAGTATATTACAGAGTGTTTGCACATTTTTATTATTTTATAAGACATAAGTTAGTAAGTTTTCTTAACTTGTTTTTTTGACATAGTAATTCAAAGTTCACTCTTTTACATATCTGTATTAATGACATTGCTCCAAACCCAGTTTGAAGCAAATTCCAATTTTTTACACATAATGGGGATAAAAAAATCCTTATTGAATCCCAAATGGTCACTAGAACCCCCTTTGATCAACAAATCATACATATCTATTTCCTTTTTTGTTTTATCTAGTTTGCTTTACAAATTTGATTAAATTACATGCATCATGCCTTCAGGAATTCTATAGAAGATAGATCTCTTTAAAAAAAAAGTGGGTAACCTTAATTGCCATTCTCACTTTTCAGGTATTACCTGTTAATTGCTGTATAACAAACTTCATCAGTGATCTTTTTTTTTGTTTCTCAGTGCATCAAATGTATTTTTTGCTTTGTGTCCTTGCTTTCATCTGACATTCATTTACTGTTGCCCTCTCTTTTGTCAGTTTTCATTAAACCCTTATTCCGATATCGTGATCGACAATTAAAAATCCTAGAATTTTTTTACTGTATTTCCTCTCTGCGGGTTTTTGAGGGAGCCCCCTTACCCTAGATTTACTGCTTTTGTTACTTCTTTTGCCCAGTTATTCAGTGCTTACCCATTGCTAAAATTAAAGGGTCACAAAATTAAAGGGAACACAAACATGTATTCCTGACCGTATTGTGTTAAAACCACTGTTACAGACTCATCTGTCTGTGCATTACTTTTATTTTCCCTCCATTCGTTTGTTTGTTCGGCTATTTTCCCTGTCCGTACAGCCCCTACGTTTATTTGCTCTTTTACCGAACAACTGCCGAACGGCCGGCCACGCAGCATGGAAGTGTACTGCTTGTTAACCTCTTGGCCCCATCAGAACGTTGTGGTTAACCGCAGACACTTCCTAATTGTCGAATGCCGACTAGGTGGTCGTCGTTCGTATGCCGACCACGGGGCGGCGGCCATCTTGGACATAGGAATGCCCAGCGGTGTTCGGCGATGATTTTCATGGAACTAAAAACAGACACTATTTCTCACGAACACCGCTGAAGCCGCCGACCTCCCTTCTTCTATTCATCCAGCATACGAACGCCGGCCTGTTCGGTACTTTTTCTGCATGAATGGACTTACCCCAGATAGCTATGCCATGGAGCCCATTCGTATAACGAAAAACTGTGAAAGACTTTGGTTCCATGGCGATTTAACTGTATGTATGTGATCTGAGCGCCATTCGGTAATAATGTGCACTCAGATCTAAGCTATCTGGGGATATGTTAATTGTATCTAGTGCATTCGGTAGTTTTTATGTTATATATTTTTATGTGTTTTTTTCTGCCACATGTAAAATAGAGTTTTGCCTCTATCCTGGGAGATAATTGAATTACTTCCCAATTATCTCCAGGATAGAGAGGAGGGTTCTTCACAGCTAAAGGGGAGTGCTTATGCCTGTAATACTGTGATTGGTTACTTTGTCATTTTTGTCACAGTTTTCCATCAGGTCCCCTAAGGGAGTGTCCACCTGGTGGAAGACCTGCATAAATACCGGGCAGGTAGCCCCAATAAACGAGATCTTTGCTGACCCTCAATACGGAGCTTGGTCTTGTACTTGGGGGGATTTATACATATGGATTTATTGTTCGACTGTTTGGAGTGGAGAGTGTTCATATGATTCTTGTTCGGCAGATTGGAGTGTTCGTTAGCTGCCTTCGCAAT